TATATATCTAGTTTGCCACGCTTGGAGGTGGAATATTTTTTTCAAATTTAAATGGGACCAACACTGAGGTCAACAAAATCGGTTTACAAATTACTGCGGGTTATATTATAGTAAAGGAGTTGCCGCGTAACATGCATACAAAAAAAGACCCAAGCCAAGACTTTTTAACTATTACCAACAATGTAACCTAATTTTTAACCGACTTCAAAAAAGGAGGAGGTTCTCAATTCGACTGCATGTTCTTTTTTTTGTATATATGTTACGCAATAACTCCGATATTTGTGAACCAATTTTCATGATTTTTTTTGTTAGAAAGGGGGTACTTCCATAGTGGTCCCATTTCATTTTGAAAAAAATCATCCACCTCGAAGGGTGACTACTCACGCATGAAGATTCGTTTTTATAAATAGCGCCTAACTTTAATTTAGGAGCAATTACTTTAATGGTTGATTTTGCTATTTTTCCAATTCAAGGCGTTTTTCTCTCAATATACTTTGAGTAGTGAGAACCGATTGTTATCCCCAGTGTCAAGTTCTGTACAGTGGCAAACTAGGGGATATTTCAATAAAACGCCATATTTGCCAATAGACATAATTCCACGTACTTTTGAGGTCGGTTTTTTAGTACTCTGTACTGAGATTATAAAACTGTTGAGTTGTAATATAATTTAAAGTCTAGATACGTACTTCATGTAATTCTTTGTTGATTTTCGTCAGTCCTGAAAAACTATTCGTAACGGAAAGACCAATGACTCAAGCAATTTTTTTAATTTGATTAACGTTTAACAATTTACGTAGTATTCCTAAAGAAGCAAATAAATAGAAATGTAGCTTAAATTGCTATCTTATATGTCATCTGTTTCGATTTCCGAACAGTACCATTTACAGGTATGTAAGTAACACTACGTACATCACTGTAGCCGTGTGGTGAAACATCTCCCTTGTTTATTTCTGTATTTTGATCTTAAATAGATGGTATATGACCTCTTTTTGTTTTGTTTTCAGAACTGCAGTCTACATAAGAAAGTCTCACATTTCACTATTTAGAAAATGTCTGTGTTACTTATATTTAGTAGCTGTAGAGTCCCCGTTCGTCCAGGGAAGTATTGCCGCCTTACCTATTTCTGAAGCTAAGCAGTAATTTGAGCATTAAGGGTGCTGGTGAAATTACAGACACATGGGACTTGTCATGGGCAGTGCTTATAAGATCTTTGCGATATAAAACTCTGAATGGCACCGCAACTGTTATGGATATGCGTGTCGCTTACTACCAGGTACACGACTTTTTCGGCCTATCACTTGGTATTAAAGTAATAAATCAATATTTGATTTTAGATAATCAATTTTGATATCATGGTATTCATTATAATATTTAGATGACGATGATGTACGGAGGGTTTTATAGTAATCTGTAGGAATATTAGTTTATTTGTTATATAAATATTATAGTATATTAAGTTATGTTAAGTTTCACATCTATTTCTAATATTGTTATGAATTTTTATGAATATACATAATTTCAATAAGAAAGAAGATATCCATAGTATTAACCTTAGAACTAAGTCCAAACTTTTTTACATTCAATTTTCGAACATCTTTGAAAAACAAAACAATTTGATTCGCCCTCAATTCAGTCGAGATGAAGTTTTAATCGAAATAAACTATAAAATATTTCACACGTTACTTGGTATCGAACGACATGATAGTTGGGGCCGGCTCTAGTTTGTTTATGAATTAAAAAACTACAGTTGCAGTTTATGTACATAATTAGGTATTAAAACACTCGTGTGATGTTGCCTGTCGGCTCGTTTCATAAACCCACACTCGTGTTTTAGTGCCTTTCATTATGTAACAGTCACATAAACTCTTATATTTGATTTATGAGTACCGTTAAAACTATGTACCAGTAATGAGCAAAGCTGAAAATTGCACATGGCTTAAACAGTTGTATAACAGCACGACAGTCGATTAGTGTACGTTCACAAATAATGAATTAAAATATTGTTTAAATAGTGATTATTTATCCGGCTCCTAGTAAACGAAATAATACACTTAATATGGGAGCTGGAAAGATAAAACGAGTAACGTGCATTTGGAAAATATTACTTCATCTTCATCTTCGTCTTCGTCTTCGTCTTCGTCTTCGTCTTCGTCTTCGTCTTCGTCTTCGTCTTCGTCTTCGTCTTCGGGTTCGTGTTCGCGTTCGCGTTCGCGTTCGCGTTCGCGTTCGCGTTCGCGTTCGCGTTCGCGTTCGCGTTCGCGTTCGCGTTCGCGTTCGCGTTCGCGTTCGCGTTCGCGTTCGCGTTCGCCTTCGCGTTCGCCTTCGCCTTCGCCTTCGCCTTCGCCTTCGCCTTCGCCTTCGCCTTCGCCTTCTCTTCTTCTCAGTCTTCTTCTTCTTCTTCTTCTTCTTCTTCTTCTTCTTCTTCTTCTTCTTCTTCTTCTTCTTCTTCTTCTTCTTCTTCTTCTTCTTCTTCTTCTTCTTCTTCTTCTTCTTCTTCTTCTTCTTCTTCTTCTTCTTCTTCTTCTTCTTCTTCTTCTTCTTCTT